CCGGTCGCGACAAAGCCTTTGAAGAGAGAATTTCGAGCCTCGTAGCCATTTCCGTTTGGCCATCCCAGGGCGAAATACCATTTTCCACCTTGTGCCGGTTCAAAACGAATTTCCTTGAGGTATTTCTTTGCGACCTGCAGATCGATTTTGCGCGTAGCGAGATATTGAAGCAGGGCAGGGTGCTCTATTGGACCCTCGCGAACGAGGCGAAAGGCGTTTGAGTCCACTTTTTCTTTTTCAACAGCAGGGCGGCGATTTTCTATAATATCGGCTACGTGTTGAAAGCCCGTCGTACTCGACTGCGCATAGCCATAGCTTTTGTAAAGATTGCTTCGTTCGAGTTCATTGAGGGCATCACGAACGCTGCCGCGACAGAATTCCATAGCGAGGTCGAGCGTATTTCCGCCACGGCCAAGCCCATGGTCGAACCACTTGTTTATGAGGGTATCTACTTTGAAAGAGGGCGTTTTGTCCTCTTTACGGATTGGGCTGTGATACCAAAGTTCACGTCCATTGAGGCGAACATTCGCCGGTTGGATACCTCGCAGGGCGAGGTACGCGGGAATCGGGATGGTTTTTGCTTGGTCAGATCTCATATGGAATTGCTAGGCATTATTGGGTGCCGAGGTCCGTTCGAGGGGCACACTGGCGACCGTCAAAGACCTCGAGAATTTCTATTTCCCCGTCCTGTATGCGGTAAGGAATGATGTAGGGGGACTGTTTGACAATGAGCTTTCGAACGTCGGTTCTATGGGTTTGCACCCCGATTTGTGGATATTCGGCAAGGAAACTGACGGAATGCAAAATGCGCCTCGCGACCGAGTCCGCTGCTTTTGGATTGTGCTCAGCAATGTAAGAGCGAATGGCGATGAGGTCGTCTATCGCATAGGGCGACCAAATTACCTTCATTGGCGCTTCTTATCTATATCTGGGCTTGGCGCTTTGAGTTCGCTCGCCGTTCCCCAACTCGAAAGCCAGTCGGTGACCGCTTCGTGAGAGGTGAAGACGCCCTTGTCGGCGACGAGTACGGATTCATCAATGGCAGCTATCTGCCATTCGTGGCGCTCCAGGTATTCTGTGAGGGCTTCGGTTGCCAAGAATGAGCGAGAGCGCTTCGTCGAACCGGCAAGCCGGTCAAGACGATCTTTCATTGCGTCCGGCAAGCGGAGTGAGATGACATTTTGGGACATGGGACACCGTTATGTAGTAGAATGTATACATTGTATTCCAAACAGCAACGAAGTCAAATTTCACTAAATGCATGGTACAAATAATTAGTATGGTGCGAATAGGGCGACATGTTACCTCCCACAGAGGTTCAGCGTTGGCTATGAAAAGGGAATCAGAACCCGAGGTGCAACGCTTCTTTCCGTGCCTTCTACCACGGAAGGGAAGACAGCAGACCAGCCGATTATACCCCCTATCCCGATGGTCAAATACCGCGCTTCAGGAGTGGATTTTTGACGCTTTAGGCGAACGGTTTTTGACAAACACAAAAGAACCACCCCTTTGAAGGGTGGCTTTTGTTTCGGGATGAAACGGGGGTCTTTCGGCATTGTCTGTTGCACTCACAGCAGACAGTTTACTTTCTAACCACTCGCCTATGATCGACTTGGACGATGTGTATGAGATATTCGGTTTCGCGCCGGATATCGTTCCCGAACTGAACCGCTCACGCGGGAAAGGGTTTATCGAGACGCTTCTTTGTGAGGCGAACCCTGATCCGGACATTTGGCCGGAACTCGAATTTATAGGGGGGCTTTAAGCCCTCCATTTATTTCCTAATCCACAGGAATATGGACACAAATATTGTACGCAAAAATGCAGATTTGCAAAACTTTCTAGAGCAAAAAATCCGAGGTGGATGAATAGCGGCCTTCCTTGCCTGTGAGCTCATGCAAACGCAGGAACCCAAGGTTTTTCTGGACGATTTACTTCAGCATGGGTGCGTAAGCGGGATGGTATCGAGCCTTGTTCGGTATTCGCAGACAAGAGCTTTTTATGACCAGCACTATTTTGAGATCGAGGAAATCCGAGAGCGGCTCGAAGCCGAAGGTATCCAGCTTCACATCAAGGGTGACCTGAAGAACTTTTTTGCATGGCTTGCTTTTGAGGAGGTCGCCAGAGAGTTTGCCGACGAACTCGAACGGTGGAATTAGGCGCTCATAGACTACAAAAACCAAAGGGAGCCTTGCGGCTCCCTTGGCACGTAGCTCCCGAGTGACCCCGGGAAACGGACACCCTCTCGGGGCCGCGAGTAACCTCTATATACTCTTAGGGAGGTTAAGATTCAAGTACTCCCGAAGAGACCTCCCGGGAGCTCTCCTTCACGAGGTCACTGGGTTCATCAGCAACTATGGAAAGCTCC